GCTATACCTAAATACTAATGTCAATATTAATGAAATCAATAAGTCAAGACAGAGTGTAAGTGTACGTTTTAAAAAATCGTTAAGTCAAGGCAGAGTATACGTATACGTTTTAAAGAAATCATTAAGTCACGGCAGTATAAATCAAACATCATATTTGGGATTGGATTCATTCTGGACGAAACCGATGTATCTAAGAACATACAAAATGTAGAAGTCCGCCTCCAAAACAATATTACTTGAATGCAATAAGTGTTGTATACGTAAAAATTCTTGTACAATCATGCGTATTTCCTTATACATAATAATACAAAAATCGACTATCTTCAAAAACAATATAACTTGTATGCAATAAGTGTTGTATACGTATCATATTCTTGTACAATCATGTGTATTTCCTTCTACATAATAATACAAAATCGACTATCTTCAAAAACAATATAACTTGAATGCAATAAGTGTTGTATACCTAAAAATACTCTTGTACGATCATGTGTATTACCTTATACAAATAATACACGAATGTACTAACCAAGTGTGTGTTTCCGGGTGCACGCAGTCATTCGCGACTATAGGTCAGGAGGGCCATAAACATATAAAGGCACATGCCTACGGACCTCTGTACTTACACGTAGCTGTAGCACACCCAGCTGATGAATACACAACCCCCTAAGCCAGTTCTGTGTCATCAGGCTCCCATAACTCAGATGTGTGAATACCTCGATCTACTTCTCCATCCCGAGTAGTACACACTAACATACATACATATATGGTCCGTAGTAGCACACACTAACATACATACATATATGGTCCGTAGTAGCACACACTAACATACATACATATATTGTCCGTCATACAGACAACGTCCCTTCACCCGGACACACACGCACTCAACACATACCCATCCCCAAGAGGATCCACAAGCTTTGCTCGACTCGACGGTAAGAATGCACCAGCGGCCGCTCTTTTGTATACTTCGCCGGCTAGTCTCAGCAACAAAGCATCTCTGTTCGCGCCCTCAAACAAGCCAAGAAGAGTGCTTGCAACTTCCGGCAGTTGTATGTACGTATCAAATACGTTTACGCACAGCACTTCTGTTGGCCACGACCCTAACGCAGTCCATCTGTGAGAGCATACGCGTTAAGTGAGATTAAGAGTATCATACTGAGTGAGAGATTAAATGTAGTATACGTACACATCAATGTATATACGTACGAACGCTCTTCATATATACCATACACACCGTCCCTACACAATGGCATTCATGTATGTCTACCTTCGCTAATCTGCCACGCATAGTCGATTGCAATCTGTGCATATGGCGCAATGGAACAGCGCGCTGTCAAGTATGTATGTAAT